AAATGGTCTGAAGCTCAACATAAAAAAAACCCTAAGATCACGGCCACTGGCCCCATCACCTCCTGGGAAATAGAAGGGGAAGATATGGAGGCAGTGTCAGATTTTACTTCCTTGGGTTCAAAGATCACTGCAGATGGTGACAGCAGCCACGAAATTCAAAGACGCCTGCTTCTTGGGAGGAAATTGATGACAAATCTAGACAGCATCTTAAAAAGCCACTCTTTTTTCCTGCCTTAATTCAAGCCTTCTGTTTTGCTTGCCTGTTCTTTTTTTATAGTTTTGAGTCAGTCTCTCTCTCTCATACACACACCTTCCCTCCCTCCCTCCATTTTCTACATACATTTAAACAAGCTTGATGAGGCCTCCAGTCTCTCCAACCTTCTTTCCCTCGTTAACTGGAGTTTAAAAAAAAAATGAGAGAGGAGAGATCCTTACACAGGTGGTAAGTCCTTTAGCATCTCTTATGGGTCTGAATCAGATTGAAAGAGAATATATTGTACCATCTAAGCAAACAATAAAAAATTATTACATAATTAAAAACTGGGTGGCATTTGGAAAGTGTTTCAGTGCTGTGTAATCAAAACTTTTTCCAAACTGATATTATTCATCTACTGAGGTCTAATGTTTGTGAGGTGGAACCCCACCCACTGGAGCTGAAAGTTAGAGGACACAGTTCACTGGGCACAGATTGGGTATCAGTTACCAGTGACGCGCTCTCTAATTTTTGGTCCTGTTGTATGGGAGTGTTGCCTCATGTGCACGCAGGGATGTTGGCTTTCTTTGAAACCAGAAGTAAACAAGCTGACTGCCAGTGTGCAACCCTGGTGAAGCTCTGTACGTGCGCAGCTTAGAGGGAACGTTGGTTGCTAGTCTTTCTATCCATATATCATTCTGAATATGGTGAGAATACAAGTTTATCACCAAACAGTTACAGTGGTACCTCGACTTAAGAACTTAATCCGTATTGGGACTGTGTTCTTATGTCGAAACGTTCTTAAGTCAAAGCCTTAGTTCTCATAGGAACTAATGCAAAGCCGGTTAATCCGTATCTACCACTAGGGGGTGATTTTAAAAAACATTTTTCTTCTTTTGACCTAAGGTGAACTTAGGTAAAAAAAAAAAGGGCAGGAAAGGTGTTTTTTTTTTTTTTTTTTTTTTTTTGGTTCTTAAGTCAAGGCTCCATTCTCAAGTCGAAGCAACTTTTTGCGAACAGAGCCATTCTTAACTCGAATCATTCTTATGTAGGGCCGTTTTCAAGACAAGCGCAATAAGGTAAAGATGAAGGAAGAGCAATAGGGGATTTACTAACTTAAGTTAAAGAAGATACAAGATGAGAGGGACAGTTTGTGATGAATCTTAACACTCATCAAAATCATTTAGTACTTAAATTTCATATCCTAAATTCACTTCAAATTTTGGTTAATATTTAGATTCCTCCCCAAAATTCGTGGTATTACTCTGCTGATGTCAGGTCACATTTGTAACAATTGGTGGAAGATTTACATATAGGATTCCCAAATGCTTTAATTATTATGATGTGTGATCTTAATGCATGCATTTGATCATCTTCCACAAAGTTTGTAAGTTGTGGGGAGGGGACTTCAGAATGAACTTGAAGAGAAGTTCCCTAATGATAAAAAAGAACAAAGTTGGGCAAAAATACTGGTGTTGTTTATATTTGAATCATGGATTCTTGACCCTAGTGACCCCAGATTATTTAGCCTTGTGCATATTTTGCCTGTAATATCAGTAGTATTATTGACTACATTTGTGTCTCGTGTCATAAAAGCCATCTTTTTTATGGTGTCTTAGCAAGCATTACAGAAGATAATGATGATCATCAACCTATATCCATACAACTAGCTCTTGAATCTGATTTAAGAAAAGCAAGACAGAAAGACAAACATGTGGTACAACATCGAGATGTAGTGCAGGAAAAAAGATTTAACATGGCAGATAGCTATGATGAATCTAAGTTTCTTTTTGAAATTAAGATATAGGCTCTGCCTTAGGAAGCATTGTGGACTCCTGAGAAAAACATTAATCTTGTCTTGGGTGCCTATCAGGCTGTTTGTTCCAATGTTAAACCTCTACTACTATCTTGCAGGGTGGATTTGATTTAAATCATGATTTAAGTTTTAAAAAATCAGATACAGTGGTACCTCACTAGATGACGACCTCGTGAGGTTTTTGCAATCGCTATAGCGATTTGCAAAACAGTGATTCCAATGAGGGATTTTCGCTGGATGATGATTTGGTCCGTGTTTTTTACATGATTTTTACATGACAATGATTTTTACAGCTGATCGGCGGCTTCACAAAATGGCTTCCCTGTGTTTTCGGGACCCATGCTTCGCAGGACAGCCATTTTAACAGCTGATCAGCACTCGCAAAATGGCTTCCCTATGGGCCATCTTTGCAGGACGACAATGTATTTTCCCCATTGGGGAAATGCTTTTTGCATAATGATGATTTCGCTAAACAGCGATTTCAATGGGACGGATTATCATCGTCATGCGGGGCACCACTGTATTTTTGATAATTTAAGTCCAAAAAGTATCCATTAAAAAATTAAATTGTGATTTAAATCATTTTTTTAAAAAAATCATTAATTTTTATCCACCTTGCTATCTCAGATTACAGCAAATATTCCTACCTCTTCCTGCAACCTCCAGTTCCAAATCTACCCAACCTTTAGCATTATAACTGGCTTTCTTTAGCTGTAACTATTTTTTTATTCCCTTCTAATTGCTTAGGAATTAAAAGAAAGAAAAAAAACTGGTTCAGTGCTGAATGCTGCAGACTGAAGAAGCATTTGAGGAAACAAATGAGAAAAGTTCATAATTCCTGAGACAACTGAGCTGATATATTTGTGCTTATTAGAAGGGAACACAAAAAATAGTTACAAGTAAAGAAAGCCAGTTATAATGCTAAAAGTTGGGTAGATTTGGAACTGGAGGTTGCAGGAAGAGGTGGGGGTATTTGTATATGAATACGAATATCCCCACACAGCTGGACTTAATGAGGGTCCGGCCCCCGGGGGCCAGACTGTCCACTCACAGGTGTGATGGTGGCCCTACTCATCCTTCCAAGCAGGCTCAGAACTCCGTTCTCTTCCCACTTGGCAGCCATGCAGGGAGACTTGTCCTCCCTTCCCCATGCCTGGAGTGGCTAGGCGAGCAGGAAGAGGGTGGTGCTCTAGGTGCACCAGTGTATTTGTATTGGATAGTATTTCATTAGCAGCCCTAGCATAGCAGCCTACACTTCCCTTGCATTATTCGGCCGGACGGGATTAATCGTGTTTCCAATGAGTCTTGCATTGATTTTTTTGGGGGGTGGGTGATTTTTTCCCCCGGCTGGAACATATTAATTGCGTTTCAATGGGAAATGGTGCTTCGACTTACGACCATTTCGACTTGCGTCCATCTTCTGGAAGGGATTATGGTTGTAACTCAGGGCCCCACTGTATTCCACTTATGGTAGCTTCTGTGGTTCCGAGCTCTGCTGGTGTCACATCTGCATTGGGCAGGAGGAACCAAAGGATCCTAGGCCCTTCATTTCCCTGAAATGTGGCTAGAAACTTTAACAACTGAACACAGTAAACTAAGTTTCCTTTTAGGAAACAAACAAAACCAGCTCTGTTTGGTTTGGGAGGGGGAGAGGTAAGTGCTGGCCCTTCTGTCTTGTGTAGAGCAACAGTGATTAGGAAATTCTTGTTCCTTCACTGTAGATTCTCCTTCCCTCCCCTATCTCCCAGATTGCTCTGCTAGTTTTATATGTCTGAAACTCAATCTTGAAAATGATAAAAATAGGGTTCTTAGGGATTTGTAAATCTCATGTAGAGCTTTAGCTGTCATATAGTAGTATAGTATCTACGCAGATTATCTCTTTAGGCTTGTATTAGATTGACTCATTTTAATTTTTTGAAACAATTTATAACCAAAAAAAAAAAAAAGTACTGGGGTTTCCACCCTACAGTCTTTATTCCAGCCATATCTGTGAAGTTTGGAATGACTCAATTGTCAGCCCAGTTACTTCTGATACTATTTTTTTAAAAAACAAAGTACAGTCTTTGTCACCTAATATAGAATAATTTGAGTTTATAATAATTTTGGAGGTAAAACACATAGCAAGGGGAAGCATGATATTGTGAATTCAGTTCTGGCGTTTGTTGCTTTCCCAGTATGTTTTCACTTGAGCGTGTCTTAGGTTGTAATCCTGTGTGTACCTATTTAGGAGTAGAATTGTGAAGATCAGATAGGATTTCAGCCAGTGTGAGGTTCTCCTTTTTTACCACATTTTCCACCCTGGAGGTTAGTGCTTTCTGTGTTTTTCACAGTGTAGACAAAACAAAGTTCAGAATACCAAGCAGGTTCATTTATATTTCTATAAAATGCTTAAATTCTTATGAGTTCAGAAGCTTGTTACTACATTTATAACAAATTAAAAATGTTCAAAGCAGTTTCAATTAGAGCCAGTTTGCAATTGTTGTGTTTCTAAACTATAATTTTATCCATGAAGATATTAGCTGAATTCTCCAGAAATTTTGAGGTGTTACCACTGGAATTGCTTCCCATCCATGGCTTCATAATTTCCAGACATTTATATTTCTGCTTAGAAGCAAAGAAATTTATTTCAAATAAATATGCATAGGAATGCATTGCTGTGGCAGCAGCTGGAGGCCCATGATTCACGTTGAAGTAATCCATGTTGCTGAAAAGAAATGTATTTCAATTTTTAAAAATGTTAAAATGCCTTTGAGTGCCCTGGTGGGGAGGAGCTCAGTATACTAGTGGTGCACTGCCAGAGCCATATTTATATGGTCGTGTAATATATCACAGTGTACCTGAAACTACGGCAAGGTTTCCACATGCTGTTTTTACATTTCCTTACAGCAGTCTATACCTCTCAAAGTGTATCTCAAGATTCTGTCAAAGGGCTTTTTTGTGGGGGGCTCTAATAATTGTCTTCTTTGCTTTAATTTTGTTTGGGTGTGCAAGGAGATTCCGGACTCAATGAACTGAAATGTCGGAAAAGTCAGGCCAGAGCACAAAAGCAAAGGATGGAAAAACCAAGTATGCAACATTTAGTTTATTTAACACTTACAAAGGAAAGACTTTGGAAACACAGAAGACTACAGGTATGTAAATTATTGTGAGCTCTTTGTGCAAATTAGGACAATATAAACATGTTTGAATAAAGTGTTTCACTGCCTGGAGAGGTTATCTGGAATTATGGGGTTTTGTGTCACCAGTATGCGGATGGCACCAACTCTACCCTCGCCATCTAAATCTGAGGAAGCTGTTTTGGCGCTAGATCAATATGTAGTGTCAGTAATGGACTGGATGAGGGTGAGTAAACTGAGACTTAATCCAGACACGATGAAGGTGCTCTTGGTCATTTGAAAGGCAGATCAAGGAGCAGGGATGCAATCTGTTCTGAATGGGGTTATACTACCTCTGAAACACAGGTGCGCAGCTTGCTGATTCTTCTCGGAACCTGGATGCCCAGGTTTTGCTAGTGGCCAGAAGTGCATTTGCACAATTAAAACTAATGCACCAGCTGCACCCATTTCTGGAGAAGTCTGATTTGGCCACAGTGACAGACACCTTAGTTACATCTTGGTTGAACTATGTGGGGCTACCTTTGGAAAGTGTCAGGAAACTGCAACAGATCCAAAATGTGTCAGCCAGATCACTGACTGAGGGGTTATCACAGGGGATACACAACTTCCCTTTCCCTCATTACAGCAGCTCCACTAGCTATCAATCTTTCCAGGCATAATTCAGAGTGCTGGTTCTAACCTAGAAAGCCCTAAACAGCTTAGTTCCAAGTTACCTTAAGGACTGCCTCTCCCTTTATGAGCCAGCTCAGTTGTGGAGATCATCAAGAGAGGCCTTTATCTTGATCCTACCACCTTCACAGGTGCACTTAGTAGGAACATGGGAGAGGACCTTCTCTGTTATTCCTCCCGGACTTTGGAACTGCCTCCTACAGGAGGTCAATCAGGCCCCATCGTTGCTGTCCTTCTGCAAGCAGGCAAATACCTTTTCTCTTCAGGCAGGCTTTCTCTCCTTAGTGATTGGCTGAGGTTGTTTTTTTTAATGGATTGTTGTACTTTACTGCTTTGGATGTTTTGGATGTTTTTTTGGTGTTGCTTTTGTTTACTGTTTCAGTGTGGTATGTGGATGAACCTTTTAGTATAGGAAAGTTGCAATCATTTGTTGCTTTGAGAGTAAAAAAGAATAGGAAAGGAGAAATACTGACCCAGTACTTTTTTAAAAAGAAAAATATAGTTGTTTTTACTAATACAGGATTGCATTTTATACCATTTGTACTTTAGTATTTAGAAAAAAGTCAGGAAGCAATTACACCATTTGCTCTTTAGGAATCTTATTACTAATGTTAGATTTAACTAGAAAATTTGTATTTGTTTAATCTCTTGTCTGTCAGAAGAGGCAAATCTGTACTGAAACAAATTAATGTATACTACCAAAGGCAATAATCTCTTATAAGGAAATAGTTTTTAACTACAGTGGACCCTCGACTTACGGAATTAATCGGTATTGGAATGGTGGCCGCAGGTTGAAAAGTCTGTAGGTCGAGGGTCCATTTCCCATAGGAATGCATTGAAAACCCTGTAATCCGTAACCGGACGTTTTTGTTCCATAGGAACTAATGGAAGCTGGCTAATCTGTACTCTACCACTAGGGGGAGCATTTTTCTTCTTTATCTTTTGACCTAAGATGAACTTAGGTTAAAAAAAAATGGGCAGGAAACAGTTTTAAAATCACGTTTAAAATCTTTTTTCAACCAAGCCAAGGGAGACATGAGTCTGAACTGCATTTTAAAGCCTGTTTGCACCCAGAGACATGAGTCTGAATTGCATTTTTAAGTCTGCCTGCTTCAACAATCAGAAAGCATTCTTCCTGCACAGAATTCCTCATCACAAAGAGAGATGTGAGTCTGAACTGCTTGCACCAACCATCAGGAAGCAAACATTCTTCCTGCACAGAATTCCTCATCACAAAGACATGATTCTGAACTCCATTTTAAAGCTCTTTTTCAACCAAGCCAAGCCAAACCAAAAGGCAGGAAAGGAGGGAGGGAAGGCAAAATGGGGAAAAGAGGAAAGAAAGGTCATCACTGGGGCACACAGATCCCTCAGACAAAGGTTTGTGCTTTGAAGCACAAAAAGAGAGAAGACAGAAAGAGAGAAGACAGTGTGTGGCGGGAAGGGTTTGGATACTAAAACACACATTTTAAACAAAACATATTTTAAGAGCAACATTTTTAAAACCAGCAACTTTTAAACAAAACACATTTTAACAGGAACAAAGCAACTTTTAAACCAACCCACCCACCAACACCTTTTAAAACAAAAGAGAGGTGACTTAACTTTCATTGTCTTCTGGAGGACATCACTACAAGGTAGAGGTCCCCTCCTCTGGGTCATCTTGTCCAGGGGATCCCTGTCGCTGTCTCTTCGCTGCAGGCTCCATCCGGGTGAAAAATCTGTCCAACGTTGTCTGTTTTGACCTGCGCTAAAGAATCTTCCTGAAGTGGCTAACCACATTGTCATTCATCATGTCCAAAATTCTTTCTGTCACAGTCCTGTTTGGGTGGTGCCTCTCAAATAAGTCCTGGCACTTGGTCCACATCTGGCAGATGGATTTGATCTCCTTGTTGCTAACCGGCGGTGCCTCTTCCTCTTCCTCAGTGGAATGCTCCTCCACAAGAGCCTTCTACTGCTGGCTTTGCAGTTCTGCAAGTTCTTCCTCATCAGCTCCTCTTTGTGTTCTTCAACCAGCTCCTCTACATCCTCTTCGTCGAATTCCAGACCCATGCCTTCACCCATGTTGATGATGTTCCTCACCACTGGTGAATCAGTCCCCTCAGTGCTACTGTCTGTGACACATTCTGGCCACGGTTTCTTCCAGGCTGAGTTCAAGGTCTTGGTTGTGACATTTTGCCAGGCCTTGTCGATGAGTCTGACACTGTGGAGGACATTGAAATGTGTCTTCCAGAACTTTTTCAGGGTCAGGGATGTCTCCTCGATGATATTGAAGCACCTGATGAAGAGTGCCTTTGTGTACAGCTTCTTGGAGTTCCTGATCACTTGCTGGTCCATGGGCTGCAGAAGAGGTGTTGAGTTGGGGGGAGGGGGAGGAACTTGACCCTGATGAAATCCTCATCAATGTCATCCACCAAGGATTGGGGCGTGGATGCCGGGGCATTATCCATCAGCAGAAAGCACCTCTCAGGAAGCTGGTGGTCTGAAAGATATATTCTGACAATGGGTGCAAACTCGTCATAGGGCCATTCCAGAAATAGCTGCCTTGTCATCCAAGCTCTTGCATTGGCCCTCCACATGATAGGCAGTGTGGCCTTGTTGACATTCTCTCACTGGAATGGGCGAGGAGTCTGGGAGTGGTAGACCAGCAGAGGCTTGATCTTCAGATTGCCGGTGGCATTGGCCCAGCAGTTTCTCTTCCTCCTGGGTGATGTAGGTTCTCCTGGGCATTTTCTTCCAGAACAGCCCTGTCTCGTCACAGTTGAAGACTTGCTGGTCCAGGTGGTCTTCTTCCTTGTGGAATTCAGCAAACTCCACCTTGAAGGCTTCTGCAGCATCATGATCAGCACTTGCAGCCTCCCCATGTCTTGTAACGCAGTGGATGCCACTTCTTTTTTGGAACTTTTGGAACCACCCCTTGCTGGCTTTGAATTCTTCTTGCGCTGCACCTCTGGAGGGGTTTCTTTCCATTAAGTCACTGTGCAGCTTCTTCGCTTTTTCACAGATCATGACTTCACTGATGGTGTCCCCTTTCAGTTGTTTCTTATTGATCCACACCAGTAAAAGTTTTTCCACTTCTTCCATCAGGGCTGGCCTGTTCTTTGTTATGATTGTGACTCTTTTTGCCACATCAGTGTGCTTCAAGACATCTTTCTTCTTCAGTATGGTACCGATGGTTGACTTTGCCGTCTGGTATTCAGCAGGCAGTTCAGTCAAAGGCATGCCCTGTTCATTCTTTTTGATGATTTCCCTTTTGGTTTCAACGTAGATGATCTTTTTTCCCCCAGATTGCTCTGTTCTTTCTTTGGAGCCATGGCTATAGTTCAGCTCACCACAGTACACAAACCCTGCATCAACAAATCAACACAGTCCCTAATTTTAAGAATAAGAAAAAAGACTGTGAAGTCTTAAACTTAAACTTCAGACTTGAGTCTGAACTGCATTTTAAAAAGCCTGCCTGCCTGCATCTACAACCACCACAAGCCCTCATAGAAAATTTTCTGATTTAAAGAAAAAAAGACTTTGGATTCTTAAACTGCATTTAAAACTCCCTTTTACACCATGCCAGCAACCACAGGCCCTCACAGAAAATTTTCTGTATTGTACATTTGAAACCCACACATTTTAAAACAAAAGAGAGGTCTCATACACAAACCCTAGAAGCCACAGAATGCAAAAATAAATACAGTAAATTTTACATTTAAACATTACTGTACATTCTAATTTTTACATTTAATTTTAATTTAACATTACAGTCTATTTTTCACATTATAAATCTACACTGCAAGACCCATCAGAGCACAGAAACATAACCCCTACGTAGCCCTAAGCCCCCCCCAAGCTGCAAAAATCCCAGTAAAAGCCCCCCCCCAAGCTGCAAAAATCCCAGTAAATGTACAGTACTCACCCAGAACAGGCAGACTCTTTGTTTAAATAAAGTCAAAAATCAAAAATTAAAAGAAAAACCAAAATATACAGTCCATAGTACAGTATACAGCACTGTGCCAGGCAGTACCAGGCAATACAGTGGTGCCTCGCTTAGCGACTTTAATCCGTTCCGTAAAAAACGTTGCTAAGTGATCTCATTGCTAAGTGATATTAAAAAGCCCATAGAAATGCATTAAAACGCGATTAATGCATTCCTATGAGCTAAAAACTAACCTTTAAGCGAAGATCCTCCATAGGGGTGGCCATTTTTGGTGCCTCTAAAGCGAGGAAACACAGAGGGCGGCCATTTTATTTTCCCGGTGGCCATTTTGAAACCGCCGATCAGCTGTTAAAAGGGTCGCTTTGCCACGATCGCTTCCCCGCGATCATCGCAAAGCGAAAAAACCCCATAGGGACCATTGCAAAACAATCGCTTTTGCGATTGCAAAAACTCCGTCGCTAAGCGATTTCGTCGCTCAACGGAGCGATCGCTAAGTGAGGCACCACTGTACAGTACCAGGCAGAATCTCTGAAGACTCTCCCCCTGACAACTCTCTAACCGCCGAGATGAGCGAGGAAGCAGACTACTGTAGCACTCTCTTCGCTGGCCAACGATTAACTGAAAGCAGTTCAAATTTCCCGTTTTCCCCGCCTCTCCCACTTTTTTTCGATCCGTAGGTCGATTCTCCGGCTGCGAGTCAAAGTGAAATTTTGCGGCCGGAGAAGTCCGTAATTCGAAAAGTTTGTAAGTGGAGCAGTGTGCAAGTCAAGGGTCCACTGTATTGGCCTCTTCGCAAATGGGCGGGAGGATAATACCTTTTGTTGAAGTTTTTAGTGTCTGTAGAGCTGAAGTGAGTTTAATCCCCAGAACCAGAAATCTTTTTTAAAAAAAGTTTTTTTAAAAAATTGCCTTGTAGTAAGTGTAACAACTAAAATTGTATTTTCTTTGTATATAGTTACAGCACGCCATGGATTGCAGAGTCTTGGGAAAGTTGCCGTTTCACGGAGGATGCCCCCTCCTGCTAACCTTCCCAGTCTTAAAGCAGAAAACAAAGGCAATGATCCTAATATAAACATTGTGCCTAAGGATGGCACGGGATGGGCTTCTAAACAAGAACAACATGAGGAAGAAAAGTAAGTTAAAGGCCATACTGTATGTTTTATTTCAAGATAATGATCCCTTTTAATTTATGCCATAGGAGAGTTGCTTTAGAAATGCCTTTTGTCAGCATCAGCTAGTATGGCAGTTGCAACACTACTGAGATGAAGAGAGCCTAGCCAATTGCTCCTGTTCTGGCAACCTTCTATTTAGCTTTAGTCTTTAAAATCCTTACTAGTTTGGCACAAGGCTGTATGGAATATAGCTTTCTTTTCTGTGTTCCTATTTAAACGTCGAGATCTTTGGAGGTGCTGCTTTATGTATCTCTATTAGAAAAAAGAAGCAAAGTGAGCAGATCTTATGGTAGTGGAATTCCCAGTCTAAAAAGGCTTACCTTTTTGCCTTCTTTATGGTCATTTCATTCTTCCATTTGTTTTAATATACAATAACTTAAGCAACTGCTATTTTCTCTCTTTTTAATTATACATTGAAATTGGTTTGGTGACACGGTGTGCTGAACTGTCAGCTTTGGTCATTTTATGGAGCCAAAGGTTGGAAGTTAATTCCCCACTGTGCCTCCTTTGCATGGGCTGGACTTAATGATCCATATGGTCACTTCCAGCTCTGCAGTTCTAAGATGATCATGATGAAGGTGATGGGCAGCTTCCTGTTATACACTATTATTATTGATGTGTATTTGTTACGTATAAAAAATGGAGAATAAACATAGGCCAATATCCTGGAAATGTTATGCACAGGGCTTGAAAAATCCACTCATCCACTTGTCTGTGACGAGTGAAAAAACACTGCTTGACAAGCCACAGCTCCCTCCGTCCCCCCTCCCTCTCTCCCTCCTTGCCTCCTTACTCTCAAGTCTCTCTCTCTCTCTGATCCTGCAGTCCTCCCCTCCCCCTTCCCATTGCAAAAGGAAAAACAGGCCTCTTCTAGTGAGAAGAGAGTTTGAGCGGCACATATTGGAACGGGGTCCGTAGGTCGAAAAGTCCTCAAGTTGAAAATGCATTCCCCATAGGAATGCATTGAAAACCAATTAATTCGTAACCCGCCCAAGAAACCCCCCCCCACAAAATTAAAATAAATGTAAAAAAAATTAACCTTACCTTTTCAAAGCCTTCCAGGGTCCCCTGCCACCACCATCGCCGCTGCTGGAGGACTCCGAGGCCTTTGGCGCTGCTGCCAGAGGCCTCTTGGAGCTCTGCTGTAGCCATCGCAGGACTCCAAGGGCTTCAGCGCCGCTGCCAGAGGCCACTCGGAGCTCCCCCGCCCCTGCCGACACAGACTTTTCCAGAGTGGAACAGGCCTACCAGTGGATGGCTTCCCCCAGTAGGCCTGGTCTATTGCCCGGGAAAGCCTGCGTTGGTGGGGAAGGCATCCGGAGGTCCCCCGCCACCGCTGCTGGGAGCTGAGCTGCGCTGGGCAATCCCAGCCATGCTTGGACTCCCCCCGGCGGGGGAAGTCCATGAGTCCGAGCATGGCCGGGATCGCCCGGCGCGGAAGGTCCCCCCCACTGCCGATAGTGCCTCCGAAGCACTATCGGCGGTGGGGGGACCTTCAAGATGCCTCCCATGGCGGCGGAGAAGCCCTGGAAGGCATCCGGAGGCAGATGTGCAGCCTATGGAGTGGAAGGGAGGCAGGGAAAGCACCAAATTTGAAGGAACTCTGCCCTCAAGGAAAGACCCATTAATTATTGCTGTGGCCCATTCTGTTGTTATCGGCCTGGCTGCTTTGATTAGCCAAGCCGGGCAAGGGTCAAGGGAGGAGGTGGTGGCCCGGCAGCGATCAAGCGCTTTGTCCACAGTATTCGGCGTCACAGGCTGTAAGAGATCAAGGATCACCAGGCAAGACGGAGCGCTGGACATCTCAGCTCGACTCACTGTATTTTGGGTTTGTACGCATTGTTATGTAAAAAGTGCCTAGTTTAAATTTAAGTTTAAACATAATTTGCAAGGCTATAGTCCGATCATGTTGACTGGTGAAATTTTTGACTGACTGGTGAAACATTCTAAAATTTTTCAAGCCCTGGTTATGCATATCTTGCCCTTACTGTAGATGCTTTTTAAAATTAGTTGAGAATGTGAACTTCCTTTGCTAGAAACAAGATTTTCAATCCACCTTCACAATTTTCTCACTTTCAGACAGCCAGAAGTGCCACAGACCCAACCAAAGCCTGTAGTTTCTACTCCCCCAGAAGCACCTCCTGTTACCAAATCATGGGCCAGTACTAAGCAAGGTGGGCAGGGCGATGGTAAGTGGAGGAGTGGTGGATCAATTTGGTTGGGCTAGCAGCAGGTCTGGTATTCAATCTTGTGTAGAATACATACTAACTTTCTTCTTCATGGTGCCAGATCTATTGGTGTTCTAGAAATTGTTCTTGAAAGATAGATTAAGTACTTTTCCTGACTTTTCCCTTAAAACTATGGTACAGTACTTCCATTTTGATAATAAACTTGGCACAGAAAAGTGTAGTAACAGCCTATCTGGAGTGGAAATCATCTTAAAGAGAAATGTATATAGAACATTTTAAAAGGACTTCCAGTTACAAGTCTAAAAGGTTTGTAATGAAATAACAGCACAAATAAAATTAAGATTTTGTAGTTTATCAGTTGACCTTCTGAGAGCCATGGTGGAGGAAAATTAATGATTTTTTTTAAAAAAAATTGAATTGATTTAAATCACGATTTAAAATAGAGAACAATTTTTATTAAAATTGTGATTTAAATCAGTTTTTAAGTCAAATACACCCTACTGAAAGCTGAAGGATTTTAAAAAAAACTTTTCAAAATTATCTAATCATTTGAAGTCACATTTAAGGGGAGTGCTCATGATCCTGGGAGTTCAATTCCCCACTGTGCCTCTTCGACAGGAGATGGACTCAGCAGCTCTGCAGTTCTATGAGGATGATAATTAGGTTCTGTAATTTATCAAAACTCTGATACAGATTCCATGAAGGAATTTTAGGAATACTGAGCAGCAGACAATTGTTTAGTGTAGGTTAAGGAATAAAAAATAGCTTTTCATTTTGGTTATAAACCTGTGTTTTGCAGACTGGACTTAATTCAGTCTAGCTCTCTTACTTTACTAGGACTTCAGTTTGTCTAATAATTTTGTCTAAACTTAAATACAAACTGTCCTCAGGAGCTTGTTAATAATTAAGGCATAACACTGATTTTGCTGTTTTGCTGAAGAATATATGAAGTGTTTTGTACATGCTTTCAAGAGTCTTTCACTACTCTTGTTCTTCCTCTAGCAGTTAAGGTAGTTTGCCTCACTATGACTCATGGTGGTTCTTGAATCCATTTTTGAATAATATGTGAAAAGTAATCAAAATATGATAGAGGTTTTAAATGTGAACTGTATTTTTGAAGCTTTTTCTACCCATAGTAGCTCTTAATATGCTGGCGTTGTGTAGTTCTTACAGTGTAAAAACACTGTGATAGGAAGGTGCCCACATTGTCACAGGATATGGCGGCTGAAAGTATTCATGCAGAAAAGGAGGAAGACTTGGAACCCATTTGGACTTCAGTCTTGTATATCTCCCAGTGAATGGAACTCCTCCATTCTCACAATTCTAGCATTTCTGATATGGTGTTTGGTAAAGAGTACTGTGATTCCTAAAATCCACCCAGTAATATTTTAGCTAACAACTAAAAATACATCAAAAGAAAGTAATAATTTTAAAAATGTTTTTATGGTCTCGTTCAGGTAACCTCTTCTTAAAACTGGTTACATCCAGATTAATTACTAGCTGTGCTAAAGGTGATAGTTTCAGGTTCCTGCTATTGTAGTTCTGTACCCTTTTTTCTGTCAGAAAGGTCTTATAATGCAATAATCTTGACTAAGTCTGTTATAGCAGAAGCAACTAGGTATGTTGCAGCAAAACTGTTTTACTTGAAGGAAGAAAATAACTTTACATTTTCTACATTAGAAATTTATGTTTTTTTGCTACAAATTTACTAACTTCGTTTTAAACAACTGTTGCAGGTCCTGGAGTACAAATAAATAGCTATTTTCAGCAAGAGTTTCCTAGTCTGCAGGCAGCTGGAGATCAGGAAAAGACAAGTAAAGAAAAGGATATCACTGAAGAACCTTATGGTCCTGGGCCCAGTTTGCGACCACAAAGTAGGTGTATATAAAATATTGGAATGACTGACATAATGTTGATCTGTGCTTTAAAAGGTCACATGACTAAAGTTCCCTCTAATTTTCAGCTGTGTTGGGTTGGGTTCTGCTCCCTGGTGTGACTCGGCCCCCTGGTTAAGTTTTTATGCACCAAGTTAAACAGATATACATTGTTTAAATTATGGAGTGTTCCATTATCTCCAGGAGACTATTGGTGTGTATTTTGTTGTTTAGTTGTGTCCGCCTCTTTGTGACCCCATGGACCAGAACACGCCAGGCCCTCCTGTCTTCCACTGCCTCCCGGAGTTGGGTCAAATTCATGTTGGTAGCTCCGATGATACTGTCCAACCATCTTGTCCTCTGTCGTCCCCTTCTCCTCTTGCCCTCACACTTTCCCAACGTCAGGGTCTTTTCCAGGGAGTCTTCTCTTCTCATGAGATAGTCGAATTATTGGAGCCTCAGCTTCAGGATCTGTCCTTCCAGTGAGCACTCAGGTTGATTTCCTTCAGAATGGATAGGTTTGTTCTCCTTGCAGTCCAGGGGGACTCTCAAGAGTCTTCTCCAGCACCACAATTCAAAAGCATCAATTCTTTGGTGGTCAGCCTTCTTTATGGTCCAGCTCTCACTTCCATACATCTCAAAAAACCATAGCTTTGACCATGTGGACCTTTGTTGGCAAGGTGATGTTTCTGCTTTTGAAGATGCTGTCAAGGTTTGTCAGCGCTTTTCTCCCAAGAAGCAGGCGTCTTTTAATTTCGTGGCTGCTGTCATGGTTGCTGTCATGATCTGCAGTGATCATGGAGCCCAAGAAAGTAAAATCTCCCACTGCCTCCATATCTTCCCCTTCTATTTGCCATTGTATAGGACCATTGTTTTCTGGGAAATTGCATGGTTTTTTTTCTTTCAGAAGAAAAGAACTATGCATATCAAGTGGCTGGTATGTGAAGACATTGCATACTACACAATAGCATAGAATATCTACACTGTAGATCTATTTGTTTGGGTTCAGCCACAAAACCTGACTGTAGGAGAGCAAGATATCCCATCCTGGTGTATAAGGGTCATCCAGAGTTTTATTATATATTTTTTTTCATTCTTGCCTTCACCAATATGGCTGAAAAGCAAAGGCTCCGATTCCCTCTTCTCTTTATCAGATATGATGAAAACAGGTGTATTTCCTTTGAATTTTTTATCCATACTTAACTTGATGTTTCTGCTAGCAAAAGGAAGCAAAGTCACTTAAAATTGATTGCTCAGTTAAAACTTTGTAGTGGCAAAGGATTTTGAATTTATTTAAAGTCGGTAGAAACCATTATCCAAGCCATAACTTATTGGTGTAATTCAGATGCCTTGCCAATTCATGGTTAATATTAACTGCAGTTTAACTGATATAGACTGTAAACCATGGTATAACTAGTACTTTTTCAGCTTTCCATGCTATATATGTTTTGGCCTCTAGAGATCATGTACTAGTTGTAATGACAGTTTGTCAATTGATGATGGACAGAAAGTATTATTTTCTTCTTTGCGGCCTCTGTGACTCATACTAATGGGTCATATTTTTTTAACATTCTTCCTGTACAAAGAAGTCTTTTGTTCAGTATGTTTTGCTTTAAAAAAAAACACAAATGATATTTTAAAGGATTTTTTTAAAAAAACGACTGCCTCCTTTTTGATTGTATGTTCCTCTTTTCCTGCTGTCTCTTGATCCCAACAGTCAGTAAAGATTTTTAAGCTACAGAGAAGAAGAAAAAAATTGAGATTGAAAAGGATCTCAGAAATTTAGTTGCCAGTGAGATACTGTTTCACTGTAGTCACACTGATCTGTCAGATCTCAAGCAAAACTAGTCATAACTCAGATTATCATATGTACCAATATTAGCTCCAACCAGTTTGAAGGAGGCACTAGCCCACAATCAGGCTAGATGCACCATGATAGCTCCATCCTAGTGAAGGCAACTTTCATGGTACCTGTAACCTCCAACCATGTGATGGCAGCTTGCCAACCTTCCCACACACATTATATTGACCCAGAACACAGTTTATATCCTCTCCTTGGCCTCTTCAGAGCTCCAACTATTGATTTCTTAGAGTGTGAGTGAAACCCCAGGAAGATTGCTATTCCCACTAAAACTGAGATATTTCTGAACTGTTTCACGCTAGAATTTGATGCTGTTTCCTAACTGCATCAGTATCATCTAGAAAGATAGGATTTTTAAAATAGCTTTAAAGTGTTGAATTTATTCCATTTTGGATTAAGGAAGCTGGACTTGAGCTAATGAGGCCCTTAGAAAGCAACCTGAAACTTTGAAATGGACTTCCCCATGTCCATTCCGCATCTCCACTTTGAATGTGAACTTTTTCAGTTTGCCAAGCTGTATGTGTTGTGGCCTACAGAGGTGGTATAAATAACACCACCCACCAGCATAGAGCTCTTCCTAAATCCATACCCTCTGACTTGTCAGATGACTCTGCAAGAAATTTTTCCTGACCCCTGAATAGGACATGAATAATCAGAATGCCTCACTTCCAGCCCTTTAGTCATGACTTTTTCCCCAAGTTAGTGAATCCAGTATTTCAAATATAGAAGAGGAATGGTCAGATCATGGGGCCACTAGAGGATGGCTCTAGTACAGTGGTGCCTCGCTTAGCGATTGCTTCATTTAACGATGTATTTGCTTAGCGATGGATTTTTTTGAGAAATTTTCCACATCGTTTAACAATGTTCTCTATGGGCGATTTTCGCTTAGCGATTTCGGGACCATGCTTCACATAGCGATTTCATTTTGGGTCCCCTGTTTCGCTTAACGATGTCCGTTTTCGCTAATTTAAAAGTGTCTTAAAATGTTTGAAACCTGTTTTAAATGCTTGGAATCGTTAGTGCACCTTGTTAAACCTTTGCAGAATTAATTTGGCTTTGTTCTGACTTCGTTAATTTTTGGTGAATTTTCCCCCCATTGGAATGCATTGAATAGGTTTGACAGCTGTAGGTTTGACAGCTGTGAATGAAGCTGGCAAGGAATATACAGAAAAAGGTTCACAGTATTACAACACAGACAAGACAATGCTAAAAATACTTTAGAAAGATTTCTCCCTTTTCTGATGCAGATGTTGCTAGCTGGAGAGAAGGTGGAGGCAAAAATTTGAACTCTCCAAACTCGCCAACTGATCAAGAAGCAAAACCTCTTGCTCAAGAAGATGGTAATATGCCTGGACCACTAGAACAAAATGATGGTTTGAAGGTACAAGAGAAGAGAGATATAAGGATAGCACAGCCTCCTCAACCAAAGCTGAATGGTCAGCAACAGCCTGGAATTATACCTCAATACAGAGCAATGATACCACCTTATGTAAGTTCTCTGCATCAAGCTCTTGTGGGACTCATTTCTCTTGTAGGGCCTCAAAGATAAAAGGAAGGGAAATTGCAGAACATATTGATAAAGTAGATAGGCATTTAAGCCCTTTGCAAAATATAAAATCATAAAATGTTCTGTAGTATTAATGAATGAAATGTGTAAATGTATTGGGTTGTCCCAAATGCATTGTACTGTCAGTGAATTACTTCATTCTAGCTCAAGGGAGGAGCAATTTTACTCCAACCTTAAAGGCCAGACACTGGGATCTCAAGGAGCTTGGCAGGTAAAGCCTTGGAAATGCCAGGAACCGAGCTTCACTCAGTCTGGAAGGAGAGAGACTTGAGATAAGAAGCTTCTTGGCCTTAAACAAGTAGGCTGGTTGAAAACTATAAATACTGATGAAGTTTGTTCTGATAAATGACATTTTATAAGAGTATAAATAAAGAGCTCTCTCACAGTCCTATAAAATGGAGAGGCATTCTCTCTCAAGTGTACAGAAGACACAGATGGTCTGGGAACAGCCAGGAGATTACCATGAGAAATAACATAGCCATTTATTCCAACTGGAGAAGGCTTGGTGAGAAAAAAAATTATGTGTGTTAACTACATGCCTAGGGCATGTATCTTTTTACTTTATATTTTTACTTTTGAAGCTTAAATTTTTTTTCATGCCTTTCACTGAGAGTTGTAAGGCTTCTTGCTTATGATTTTATTCTTAAGAACCCTGAAGTGTTCTAGAGATGAATTTTCTGCCTTTATAGGAAGTGAGCTCTTGTATTTTAATGCATTTGTATTTTTTCATTCAAACATAACTCTTTGTGTGGCTATAAGCTCACAATATATTTTTACTTAAGTGTTCAAAGCTTAAGTTCAGTTTTTACAGTTTTTAACTTTATGTGCCTAGAGTTTTTCTTTAAAACCTTAAGACTGTCTGATTTTTGGATTTGCTACTTTTAAGCATGGAACATAGAGATGATGTAAATAAATGGAACTTGTACAGAATTAACAAGTTCTGAGGTTGCTTGGAATTATTGCAACAATGAAGACACCTAAAATGAGATGTCCAAATGAGAAGAGTATGCAATAGTGATTAGTGACTATTGATTCCTGATTTCATTCTGTTATTAACCCTTTTCTGAGATAATGTCAGCTATGACAAATCATAAAATCTGTTATCTTTCCCTGGAAGGTCCGTAAATCTCTGTAGGACCCTGAGGGAGTCAGTCACCTTAATCAAGTCCTGACATTGTGGTAAACAGCCAGGAGGATCACATAGGGGTCATTCCATGTCACATCAACCAATGCATGGGACCTTTATGTCATGGATTTGGTTCATTTTGGGTACATTTGTACCTTTCCATGATATGTTCTTTTTTAAAAAAACAGATTTTTTGGTCCAATCGTTTTTGAGATAATACATTTTCAAAATTGCAAAGAAATGGCAAAATTCACTAGCCTCCGTAACTTCAAATGTCATTTAACTGATAGCTATGGACCAGGGACATGTGTCATTTTAAAGGTTATGAATAGGGCTTTCATTTGATATACAACATGATGCAATTGTGCATTTTCAAAAAAATTACACATTTAAAAAAATTTAAAATTTGAATTTTCAGGAAAATGGAATTTTTTTAAGTTTTCAAAAAATTCACACTTAAAGATACATGTCTTGTAGCCAGAGTTCCAAAATGGACTTTTCATTGGTTGATTTGACATGGAATGATCCATAAGATCAAGATAAGAAATGCAGAAAATTGATATCCTAGTTTCTGGACTTAAAAGATTTTTCTGAGCCTGACCAACTCAGAAATACAGTGGTGCCTCGCATAACGAGCGCCCCGTTTAATGACGAATCCGCATAGCGATGCGGATTATGGGATCGCAAAAGCGATCGCATTGCGATGTTTCCTATGGGAAAAAATCGCTTTGCAATTTTTCCCCATAAGCCCCATTTTCCCCCAGCTGACCAGCGGGCACTTCGGAAGGACCGCGGGGGAGCCCTTCCCCGCGGTCCCTCCGAAGCCTGCGCCGCCCAGCTGGGGGAAATGGCCGCCCGTAGCGTTTTTGCGCCTTGCTTACCGAGGCGGCGAAAATGGCGGCCAGATGGGGGATTCTTCGCTTACCGCTGAGTTTTTTCCCTGTTTAATGCGTTCCTAAGGGTTCCCCCCCTCGCATAGCGAAGAATCCAGATAGTGACGTTAATCATGGAACGGATTAACATCGCTATGCGGGGCACCACTGTCATATTAACCTTGCCTTCCGCATGTTAGCTGCCGTGGAAAGGAGAAAAAATTTTAACATGAAAAAGGAGGTCTGCTTATGTAATTAACCAAATAAAGAAAATTCTGGGAAAACAAAATAAGCTATGAACTTGCCACTGAAGAAAAGTATACAGTAATTCCTATCCTGGCATAGAAGGAATTGATCAAGCCCTCTAAAACAAAGGAGAATTTATGTGTAGCTCATCTATGAAGGGGCAATATTATAAAAAGGATGAAGAAAGTTCAGAGAAGAATTTCTCATCACAGTAGCTAAATAAAAAGCTGAAAGGCATTGTTATATTGAAATCATGGTGAAGAACAGGTTCATATATACATAACTTTATTGCAGCAAATAAGCAAACAGACCTCAAAAGGTCAATTCATTTCAGACACAGGTCTGTAAAATTTACTTTTTTCTGTAAAAAAGGAAAGATGATGTCTAGGTATCAGTATTTTCTCTAAGGAGATAAAACGGACTGAATAATGACTTTATCAAGTACAACTACATAATTGAACGACTTGTTCTACATGCTTCTACATTGCAACTGGACTCTTTAACTATTCGAAGGTTTAAAGGACACTTATGTCAGTTCATGTGAATTACAGCATTGGTAGCCATAAATACTGCTACAAGATACAAAATGCTACTATTTTTTTTCCTCAAAAAAGGGATAACTGCAGAAGCAATTGCTCACAAGTGTTTCTGTCTACAGCAGTATCAGATCTTTGCTTAGTTCATGGATCATCAGGCCTTTAATGCACAGTGACAAATCAAGCACACACATTCAGTCCTGTTTCACTCACAGTCTAATGAGAAGATAGAGCATCATATTTAGGAGTAAAAAAAGCAAGTCAAGCTTTTCTGTTCAAATATCCTATGGGTACAATAATATTTTTGAATTTTTCATTTTTGAAACTCTTACCCCAAGCCAGTACAGGTTTTTAAAATTGATGCAATTAAGAGTGTTAAACTTGAGATGGCAAGATGGTGGTGAGCTCAATAATATACATTCTTTCCATAACATAGCTTAATACTACTTACGTTTAGAAGGCCTTGTATTCATAGATTCACAAATGCTCCCCATTCCTACTTTAAAAAGTCATAACTAATAACATTATTTGTAGATTGGTATCGGGACATTCTCAAATCTTCAACTTTATGGTCTCCACGTTTTCTTTCCATGTCCCTTTGACGGTAGATTTGATGTGCTATTGAACCTTCAAAGCATGGTTGCTAAGTAGTGGATTTATTGAAAATACAGTGGTGCCCCGCATAGCGAGGTTAATCCGTTCTGGATTAACCCTCGCTATGGGTAACATCGCTCAACGAAACGAAAAAACCCATTGAAACGCATTAAACTTGGTTTAATCCGTTCCAATGGGCCCCAAAACTCACCATTGAGCGATGCTTCCCTATGGCTGGCAGCCATTTTCGCGCCCTCCCCTCGCTTAGCGAGGGCGCGAAAATGCTGCGCGCGGCCATTTCGGGGCTTCCGGTGGCCATTTTGGAGCCACCAAACAGCTGATCCGCGGGTCGCAAAGCGAAGGTTGGTATGCGAAACGCTTACCGACCTTCGCTATGCGATTTTCGGCCATAGAGGCCATCGCTTTGCGATCGCATTAGCGATCGCAAAAACGTCCTCGCTATGCGGATTCGTCGTTCTACGGTGCGCTCGCTAAGCGAGGCACCACTGTACTACTTCTTAAAAGCCACTTTGTCTCCCTAATCACCAGATTGTCAGAAAAAGTTGAGTCTTCAGCTATGAAGCAGGAGGGGATTTTTTCTCAAGAGTGTAATTTACTTTCCCTTAAGGAAATTTACACTATTGAACATCTTGAAAAAGGTACAGGATGGGAAATGTAGGCCAGCATTGTTGTTAGACCTATTGGCTCAATGGAATTTGCATAGATATTGACTTACTGTTCGGCAATTGATTTCATTGGCTAAAATCCTGTTGGTGTAAATGTATGCCATGCAAATCAGATGATGTCATTATCTGGCGACAGATACATTAAATTAAGTTTAAAATTCCTATTGCCCCTCACCTTCAGGTTCTGTGGATTCCTAGGAATCCCTCTTAACTTTGGAAAGCCTTTGGGTGGCCTTTAATAATGGGAAATCATTGCTGGATTGCTAGTTGTGGGACCCCCGTCAGTAGTTTTCTGAAATTAAAGTCCCAAGACTCCAAAAGACTTCCAGAGGGCATAAGGAATTTCTTGGGAGCAATAGAAAGATGATTTTAGTTTGATTTCATTAAAGATATGTATTGCTAGATTATGTCATCTGCCTTGTGCAGTGTAAATTTATGCTGACGGGATTTCAGCCAACGAGTCTGCTTGCTGATTGAGATTAGTGCAAACTATAGATTAACAAACTTTTTTTCCTGAAGTTGGCAACAATGTTCAGTTCAAAGTAAGAAAACCATGGTTAACTAATCTTTTTGATTTATCGCTCAGAGTGTGAGCTGAAAATAATGTGGTTATATGTTCATGAAAAGGTTTGTTGCTATCTCTTATTAAGCTGAGAATCCTGTTTCTTACATCTGTGGAACAAGTCAAATGACATTAATTGCTGCAGTGAATTCCACTAGTTAAGAAGTTAGGGCTTGAATTTTTCTGTCATACGCCAAGCCACACAACTCATACACGATGATGACGTCACCTCCTTGGCTAGTAGCAGTTCACCAGAGTAATTTATCCATGTTGATTTATGCTAGTGTGTGTAAGTCATGGGATTCTGTCCATTGTGTAAATGGTCATTTGTTTGGGGGGGAAAGGTGGGGTGGATCATTTCCACAAAGACCACATTACATGAATAGGTCTGCCTGTTGACTTAAGGTATGAGAAGGGTGAAAATTAAACAAATCAAGGAATTTGTGGTGTGATATATTCTTGCATGGCTAAACTATGTAAAGCCTGTAAACCCGAGTCTTTGTTGAACTTAAGTAGACTCCACTTTTCACAAATTGTATAAATATTTCATCTTTTAAACTACAGTGCTGGCAGTTCATGCAATCTGACTGTTTTTCCTTTGATTTCAGTGACAACTTTTATATATCTGGCTTCTCTTCCTTAGATGCTGAATCAGTACCCTAAACTGGCATATCCTCCAGTGCCGAGTCCTAGTAGATTCTCATCACCATCTGAAATCAACAGGTAAGAAACCCAGTAGTAGTAGATATGTTGCTAATAATTTATCTTTGATTTCTTTGATAAAATCGCGGCCCTGCAAAATGGCTGTGTCAGCTTCACATGTTCTAGGTTACCCATTGATCTTATTTGTCTATTTAGTTAAAATTATGACTGAAATTGTTGCTCTGTGTGCTATTTTCAGTTGGACTGGAAAAATGTAAGATCCTTTAAAATACTTGTGCTGTTACCAATGTCTTTGTCTTTCCTAACCCATCTGTTTCCTTAAAAATAGATTTTGGCAAGTAGTGATAGAAAATACCTCCCTCAGAAATGAAATTTGCTGTCCTTAGTTCAGTATATTTTTCAGTTCTGAATTAAGGAAATATAACTTTCAGTAACCTAAATACAGAATACTGGCTTGCAAACCAAAATGTAATTTGTATTTTAAACAATTGTGACGGCTTTTATCATGTTTTTATCTGACCATTTCTGTATTCAATAATTGTGACGGCTTTTAGCTAATACAATAAACTTGATCTATAGTAACCAAAATGTGATATTTTTACTATTTTGTTTTCTAGAGGACCACCAAGGGGAAGAGCACCCTCTTCATGGGGCTCAGAAGCTATAGAACGTCCCGCCATCTTAAGTGCTAATGAACTCAAAGAACTTGATAAGTTTGATAATTTGGATGCTGAAGCTGATGAAGGCTGGGCTGGTAAAAATGTTAATCTGGGTAAACCTTGAACTGGTTGCGTATAGAAAAAAATTTCAATGTTAACCACCTGCTCTTTGTTACTCTAGGAGCCCAAAGTGAAGTTGATTATACTGAACAGTTAAACTTCAGTGATGACGATGACCAAGGAAGTAACCAGAAGGAGCAGGGTAGCAGGTGATAAATAGAATATATTGTTTGGGGAACTTTAAAACCATCAGCTAGTTTCAATATTATATCTATAATATGCATGTCAGAATGTAGGGTGATGTAGTGACTAGAGCAGCAGTGGGGAAATTGCAGCCTCCAAGGATCATGATTCACCTTTTAAATAGGCCAAAATCCTCCCCATTCACCTTCCTGTTTAACATTTTAAAAATAACCTTTTTTTCAAGACTAGAAGCATTCTGGCCACTTGCAGGTTTTTTGTTTGTTTGTTTGTTTTGCACTCTTTGGTGGCCTGTGGTAGTCTCCCCACCTGCTGAAGTGGCCCATCCCTGGACTAAAGATCCCTTTTTGACAGGCTGTTCATTTTTTCCCATGAAGCTCTATTACATGTGATTTCGTTTTATGCATCTTGGTTACATATAGTTCCAACTTAAACCAAAACATATAAATACAGACTTATGTACCATGTTTCCCTGAAAATAAGACCCGGTCTTATATTAATTTTTGCTCACGCATTAGGGCTTATTTTCAGGGGATTTTTTTTCCATGTACAACAATCTACATTTATTCAAATACAGTCATGTAATCTTCTGGTTGCTGCACAGTGGTGGAGGGCGGGGTTTCACTTAACTAGGGCTTATTTTTGGGGTAGGGTTTTTATTACGAGCATCCTGAAAAATCATACTAGGGCTTATTTTCAGGTTAGGTCTTATTTTTGGGGAAAGAGGTTATAATAATTTATAATTTATTGTCATTGTAAGTATATACACAGTATACCCATACAACGAAATTCACAAATTAATTACAAAATTAATTCAACATTTAAAGTGTATGTTAAATGTGTTTTATTTTAATGAATGTCTTTTATCTAGTAATGAATCTACAAAGGATTTGGAGAAAAAAAATGGGGAAGAAAATAAATCATCTCCCACTTCTTTACAGTCAGTTGGATCCAAAGGTCCTTGTAGCAAAAGCAATCAGTTTGATCAGGTATGTTCTGGGTTATTGTTTTATTCATATCCAGTATCTTCTGAAATATATATTGTAGACATTGGGGGGGGATACGAAGCTTGGCACCACATGTGCCAGAGTGGTCCATTCTCGCCCGAAAGAACCAGTCTCATCCACTCACTGGGCTCCTCGCAGTGTGTGCGTCCGTTGTCGGTGACGTTGCACCAATTGTGCACATACTCCTGCCGGTGCTGCCCCACCTCTCCCCTGAGCAGTTAAGCGGGGAGAGTTGTCTTCCAGCCTCCTCACCTGAGTGGTTGGCTGTGAGGAGAGGTGACAAAGTGCCAGTGGTGCTACTTCTGTGATAGGCGCAGCGTTGCCAGCCGCAGAGACTCACGTTGAAAGGAGCCCAGTGAGTGGACCAGGCTGGTTTTTGAGGGCGGGAATGGGCTGCCATGGCATCTGTACTACTAAGCTTTGTATTTGTATCCACCAGGATATGAATGCAAATCTCCCATGTCTAATAGATTGTCAAGGGACTTGTTTTCTTTAAATATTGATAATTTATAGAACATTTCTGCCAAGAAGGTGGCTAGTTCTTAGTAGCTTTTTGAAAGCCTGGTGGTAATACACTCCATTTTAACCCAGATCTTCATATCTAAAAAAAATACAAACAGATTTTCCTGTTCTGTCTGAGTCTGGTTTCCGAAATTGTTTCTTCTTTACTAATATATTTTCATCACAAAAAGAAGACAAAAAATAAAATTGTGAGATTTGCTGTGGAATTCAATAATGTACATATATACATTAAAGTAGGAAGATTTAAACAGAAGTTTATGATAGAAGATGCTTTATATTGTTCCAAAGCAACAATCGAATTGTGTTTTCAAGCATAACATTTTTTCTTGATCATGTATCATCAGTTTCATTATGTTTGTAATGGTCCATGTCCTCGCAAACTAGTCACATAATTGATGGAACACATTTTTCGCTTTATGAAGCTATTTACATTTTGGGTGCTGTTGGTAAATTAATAATTCTATGTCTTCATCTTTTACCAGATCATTCATGTGTAATTGTTGTTGTTTACTGTGAAATTACCTTTGACTCACAGTGATGCTACGAATGAGTGACATTCAGAAATGTCCTATCATTTACAGCCCTACTCAGTTCTTGCATACTCAAGGCTATAGCTTTCTTTATGGAGTCAATCAATCTCACACTTGGTCTTCCTGGTTTCCTGATCCCTTCTACTTTTCCCAGCATTATTGTCTTCTCCAGCATCATGTACCCAACATACAACTGTCTCAGTTTCAGCATGTTTGCTTTAGGAGATAGTTGGGGTTTGATCTATAACTTGCTTCTGTTGGGGGGGGGTTCCCCATTTTCGATGTGACTTGTATGCTTTGTGCTTTGTTTTCTTTGCATTTCTGATCTGCTCCATTTGTTTTTGCAATGGTTCCTGCATGCTTCCCTTGCTTTTTTATTTGATTTCTGTTCAGTTCTGAACTTGTCCCTTTGTTCTCTGTGCATTTCTGATGTGCTTCATTTGTTTTCTGTGAATTTGCAATGGTTCCTGCATGCTTCCCTTGCAGCTTGGATTTGGGCTAGGTGGTGGGAGTTATGTTTCTGTGCTCTGATAGATTTTGCAGACCCTTTCTGCAAGGGTCTGTGTTGGCTGGCTTGCTCTAAAATGGAGTTTAGATGCAAGTCTTCCCCCCCTTGTTCCCCCCTCTCTCTGCTTGGTTTGGTTTAAAATGTGTTGGTGTAAAATTGTTCCCCATTGTTCCCTCCCTCCCTCCTTTCCTGTTTTTTTTTTAAATCTAAGTCATCTTAGGTTTTTTTAGAAAATCTCCCTCTAGTGGTAGAGGATGGATTAACTGGTTTTACATTAGTTCCTATGGGAACTAATGCTTCGACTTACAAACGGCGCCTCTACATACAAACAAAAAATAGCCAGAACAGGTCAATTGGTTTTCAGTGCATTCCTATGGGAAATGCTGATTCGACTTACGAACATTTCGACTTAAGAACATCTTCTGGGATGGATTAAGTTTGTAAGTATAGTAGTGCCTCGCATTACTACGTTAATTTGTTCCAGCGAAATCACTGTAGAACGAAAACGTAATGCGAAAATAAAAAGCCCATTGAAACGCATTGAAACCCCTTCAATCGGCTGGAAACTCACCGTCCAGCGAAGATCCTCCATAGGGCGGCCATTTTCGGTGCCTGTGCAGGGAGGAATCCGTCCCAGAAAACAGCGGGGAGCCATTTTGTTTACCCGGTGGCCATTTTGAAACCGCCGATCAGCTGTTCGAAAATCGTCGTTTTACAAAGAATCAGTCCCGAAGCAGGGAACCGATCGTCGCAAAGTGAAAAACCCCTATTCAGACCATCATTTTGCGATTGCAAAAAGATTGTCATAATGCGGATTTGTCGTAATGCGGATTTGTCGTAATGCAAGGCAATCGTAAGGTGGGGCACGACTGTAGAGGCACCACTGTACATACAGTGGTGCCTCGCACAACGGGTGCCTCACACAACGATGAATTCACACAATGATGCCTTTTTCTGTTAAATTTGCCGCCTCACACAGCGATGTTTCCTATGGGGGATTTTCACACAACAATGTCTCTTTTTCGTTCCTGTAAAAGTGTCTTACAATGTTTGGAAGCCGTTTTAAATGCTTGCACTGGTTAGCCCACCTCCTGAAAGCTATGCAAACTGATTTTGGTGTTGTTCTGACACTTCGTTAATTTATGATGATTTTTTGTTTTCTCCATTGGAAACCATTAGACAGACCATTCAATGGTTTTCAATGGAGAAAACAAAAAATTACCATAAATTAACGAAGTGTCAGAACAACACCAAAATCAGTTTGCATAGCTTTCAGGAGGTGGGCTAACCAGTGCAAGCATTTAAAACGGCTTCCAAACATTGTAAGACACTTTTACAGGA